AAGTCTAAAGTCTACCCCCCAAACCCTAAAGTATAAACCCTAAACCCTAAAGTCTAAACCCTAAACCCTAAACCAATATACTATAGTCCTGACTATAGGGATCCCCCAGAAGCGACCCACCAATTTCTGGAACCTCCTTTTTAGAGACCACACGGCTAAGGGTTTAGGGTTTGGGGTTTAGGGGTTCTAGGGTTTAGGGGACCATATAGGTGGATATGAAGAGTTTGGGATTCGGTTTTGGGGTGTAGGGCTCAGGCGGGCTTCGGGGGTATAGGAGCTTCAGGAGGTTCCTGATATTTTTTAGATCACGTCATTGTCTCCAACATTCCGACGGCTATCATTAAGCTTGTGCCGTGAGGTCACCAAAACCGCTGGCAATTGTAACGAAATGAAGCATACCAGCAGAGACAAAAGATGTGAAAAGAACACACTTCGACAGCGTTACCATGCTTCAATTTAGCCATGGTGATGTCCACAGTGGCAGCCAGAAAGCAATCTCCATACCAGTACTAAACAGCGGCGTCAAAAACAAACGATCACTCGTAGGCTAAAACATGTCCGTTGCCAAGCTAGAGACAAGCGCGGTTGGGGCAAGCGTCTAGAAAAGAGAGAGGCTGCTGTCATTGTCCTGGATTATTGTTGCTACCCATAACGTAGGGACCTAACTAAGCATCTAGGGTTAGGGGGTGCGTACTCTACAATAATTACACAAGGGCGATAAAGAGATAATCTGGGCAATCAGCCATCTACAACCCTCAAACCCCCAACCCTAAATAGTCATTTGAGTCATTTCCATTTCCTTTTCCATTATACCTAAATTCCACCATACAGTAGTTTCCATTTTCTTTTCCATGTATCCCTACACCCTGAAACCCTAAACCATCATCTCGACACTCTAAACCCTTACTTACACCCTGAAAACGGATTATATAGGGCTTAGGGTTTAGGGTTGAGGTTGTATAGGGATAATGGAAAAGAAAATGGAAACAACTAATGGGTTATATAGGGTATATATTGGGGTAAGTTAGAATAATTTCAAATCCCAATTTAAGGCCATTTTGGTAGCACCCCCCCATATAAACAACCATTTAGGATGAGGTCGGGTGAGGTCGCTTTAAATTGCCCAGCTAAAGCCCTAAAACAGCCCTAAACCCTAAACCCAACCCCTGGATCCTAAACCCTGAACACTGAACCCTAAACCCTGAACCCTAAGCTCTAATCCCTGAACACTGAACCCTGAACCCTAAACCCGAGTCTCCTTGGCCTCTGCCCGGAAGGTGTCCTGCATCTTCTTGCGGGTTTCTTGCCACTGCCTCAGTCTAAGGTAAGAAGTATGGGCCCCTATTGTGGGACCCTAAGCTTTTTGGGAGGATTCTAGGGACCCTTAAGGGTACAGACAGGGTATATAGCAAGTACATCAGGATCCCAGGGTTAAGGGCCCATAGTAGGGGCCCATGGTTTCAACCTTAGACTCACTCTGCCAACAGGACCACAGCATTAAGTTGAGCCCCTGGTTAGCAAGGAATGAAGGAATGGGGTGGGTTTAGGATTTACAGTTTAGGGTTTAGGGCTGGATCCTTGCAGTAATCCAAATATATAATCCCCAGTAACAAACTGAAATGTCCAAGTCCCTCCCCTTCCATCTCATCATTCCCTTCTAACAAGATGTGAGTCAGGACCCCATAACTTCTCCTTAATGCATCTCTCCCCAAGAATCCATACGTTCAGAAAGCCGCACCCCTACTCCCTAGACCCTAATCCCCTATTTCCCCCTGAAGCCGTTACACAAGTATGCTTTGGCTGCTTGATAGGGGAGAAAGGAACAAAAAATCATTCTCAGGAAGCTGCTAAAAGGGGCTAAACCACAAACCCCCCAAACCTTTAAACTCCAAAACTAGAACAGCTTCATCTAAATGGTGGTTTTCTAAAGTGGTCACTAGATGATCCCTTATAAGCAACCCCCATAATCCCCTTGTAATCCCTATGTGTCCCCAGGGTCTCTAAGGGAGAGTAAGCCCAACTTAGAAGCCTTGACCCTAAAGCCTCACTTCCTAAACTCTATCTACCCTCAACCCTATCTACTTCTAATATCCTAAACCCTAAAACCCTAAAACCCTAAATCCTAAGCCCTAAAAACTCTAGACAAACCCTCAAAATATCCATCCAAAATCCCCCTTTCAACCCGGCGGCCTGATGGCAGCGACCCCAGCCGGCTGATCACCTCTCTTCCCCAATAACCAACCCTAGGGTTTAGGGGTTTAGGGTTTAGGATTTAGGGTTTAGGGTTTAGGGAAGTTACCTAAATAGTAGGTTACTGGGCTATGTAACTATAGGGTATATACAACCCAGTTCCCATTATTTAGGTAACTGGAGCCCTAGGGCAAGGCTAAAAAAATTTGAACTTTATCATAATGACCCCAAAATGGAAGCCCATAAATTTAAAGTTCTTCTATTGGCTAAGTAAGTCACTGGTTCGTAGCTCCAAAGTGCGCAGTCGCCATCTCCTTGGGATAGTCGCGGTTTAGGGTTTAGGGTTTAGGTTTGGTGTGGTTTAGGGTTGAGGGGGCCGTGAGGAATTCAAGGGACACAAAGGGATTATAAGAGATTCTGCGGGTCCCCATGAAGGATTCTAGCAGGATGATTTGAACAACTCCCTCCTTGCTTGGGGCTTGCCAACCTTGGGATCTTTTGGGGATATGTTGGTCTTTTATGAGGGGATATATGCGTCAGCATTCTCGCCCCCCTCCTCCGCCGCCGCCAACCTCACCCAATGGTCAATGATAGTGTTCATAGCAGGCTTACTCAAGAAGATTTCCGACGGTTCCTAGAAGGTTTATAGGAAAGGTTTTGATGGAGTTATACAAGACTTACAGAGATAGAGGACTTCTACAGGGCTTGTCAAGTGTTATAGAGGCTTGTATAGGTTTTGCAGAGAGTTCATAACTTTTCTGGAAGGTTGCTATCAGGTCAAACAAAAAGTCTGGAAGAGTTTTAGGTGGTTTTCCACGGAAATTTCGTTGGGGGCTTTTGGAGCACCCCCCAAGTCCCCGCTGTCCTGTGGCCTGTGGTGAATGTGGTGAGGCCTTATAAGGGCTTAGAAAGTCAAGATTAGGAAGATTTTATGGAGAGTTCATGGTTCGTAGTCTGTATAGATACGGCCTCATCTCAAGACGGGGACGATATGGGGAGGAGGCGGGGGAGGCGCAGAAACCTGAGCGTGAACGCATGTATTGGGATTTAAAGCGGGAACGCAAAAGAAAATGGAAACCGACATTCAAATTTAGGGCTTGGGGATAAGGGCTTGGGGTTTCTGGTCTAAAGTTCGCGGATTGGGGTTCAGGATCTGGGTTGAGGAACTGGGATTTGGGATCTTAGGGTTTGGGGTTAAGGGAGCTACAGGCCTGTACTGAGCTGTTAACCATATAGGTATGACTACAAGGTTAAAAGGGACTACTTTAGTAATCCATTCCCCCATCCGCATCTGAGAATGTGCATTCGGTGGCCGAACCAAGCAAGAACCTTCTCTTCTGATACAGTATTACAACCAAAAGATAAGTAGAATCTTACTCCAAAGTGGGGAGCGTCCGGGAGCGTAGTACTCCCATCAACATATTCCTAAACCCTAAACCCCCAACCCAAACCCTACACCCATAGAAACCCTAGAATCCACCCATAACCAACAATGATTTCAACAATGCTCTCCAACTAAGCACGAGGAAGTTTCAGGTCCGCGTCCAGCGGTTGTAGCATGCTAGCAGCGTCCCCATAGCAACGCAAGGCAGTGCTCACCTTAATGCAGAAGGGTTTAAGGTTTACCTAAGCCCCAAAAGTATGTAAAATAATAGCCTTTAGGGCTAGTATTATGGGTTTAAGGCTATTATTTGCATATTTTGGGGGGGTTTAGGCTTTAGGTTCTTTTGCACGCCTCTTTTACGCAGTTTAAGGTTTAGTTTTTAGGGTTTAGGGACCTCACAATCGTTGTATATCATAGCATCAATAAAGTACTGTCATGGACACCAAAGCCCTAGTCAAATCATTGACATTCCTCGTACTTGCATGGGGACAATGGATCCTGCTATAACTGCTGCAGTGATCCCATTAAACCTTTTCCAATTATTGGTTCTAGACCCTAGGCTCTTAATGGCCCACAATAATTAATGTGGTGTTCATGCCGCGCCATAAGTGCTGAACCCTAAGCCCTAAACCCACGCACGGCCAGCAGGTGGCGCGTCAGTGCCTCCCTGCTGCAGTACCTGGCAGACATGCACAGGAGGCTGTTGCACATGCCATCTGAGCTAGGCCGGGCGAGCCACAAACTCTAAGGCATTTGTCACGGACGTGGCGTCCTCGACGTCCTGCTCCCCCTCCTCCTCCTTCCCTTCCTCCTTTTTCTTCTTCTTGAACAAGGACTCCATGAGGGTCGTGGTCCACCAGCCTCAGGCAGTTTGTGGTTCTCTTTATATTCTTGCTCGTCGTGCCCTAAGCCCTGGATCCCCGACTCTCCAGGGTCTCCTCCACGTCCTCCCAAAGCACGCACTTTTTTGGGAGCTCGCCTGCACTGTGTCTGTGTTTCTTCTGTGTTCAAGCTCTCGCTCTCGCTCCTCCCTCTCTCTGCTGCTCTCTCGCAGCACCTTTGTGGCGGCGCTTGTCCGCACGCGCCGCAGCAAGCAAGCCTTCCTTGCGGGCGGCTGCATCTTCCATGAGCAGGACCGGGTCGATGCCTGCCCGCAAAGAGTCGGCGCTCTACAAGCCTGCTATGCATATCCTGCCTTCGGCTGCCAGGTCCGCTGCGCTGGGAGAACCTGCTGTGGTGCGTCAGGTTTTGGCATCTCTGCTACTGCTCACCTGACTCTGCCGTCCCTTGCAGCTCAGGCCTGCTTCCGCTGCAAGACAAGCTTCCCCTGTGACATAGCTGCGCTCCCTTTCAGTTCTAGAGCGACTGCCCGCTGCCTGCTTTGTGCTATTTGAATCTGACGTCTACGGATCGACATGCATTCCCGTTAACAGCACGCAAGGACTCGCCCTTCCTGGACGTCCCCTGGAGCAGCGGTGCCTATGACGTGCTCTTCAGCCCCAACGGTCCTCACAGACGCTGCTCCAGGATCCTCCGCCCTGGAAGCCTTGGGGTTCATCGCTAGCGCCGGTTCTCGAACCTGAGAGTCGTGATTGGGTGGTCTTGGGGTGGGCCGGTCTGAGGACTGTCGCGCGTTCACACAGAGCGCTGCCACTTGGGACGCCCTAAACCCTAAACCCTAAGCCCTGAACCCTAAGCCCTAAGCCCTAAGCCCTAAACCCTAAACCCTAAGCCCTAAATCCTAAACCCTAAACCCTAAGCCAGGTCACCGGTGGCTCTAAGCCGAAGGCCTCGGCTTCTGCATCGACTTGGGACCAGAACTTCACGGGCTCCGAATTACTTTGCCTCAGTTGCCCAGTATCTAGGGCTGTATTTGGGTTTAGAGTTTAGGGTTCCTAGGGTTATAGTCCCCATTAAGTAGATAGAATATGGGGTATATGGGGATCTTATTATAATATACCCAACGCCATATTCTATCTACTTAAGGGTGTCTCTACAATTGCTGTTCAGACTGGATTTCTATTACCCTAAGAATCTGAACGGCTACCCACTGGACAGGCAAGTTGCAGAACCCCTGTTAGGGCCTCCCGAAGCCTTCCCGCCTGCGCCCGGACTTTTGCCTCCAGCTCCAAGGGGTCTCTCTGCTGCGCGATGCTTTGCACGGAGCTTCGTAGCTTTCCTTTTGCTTCCCGGAGCTGGTTTTTGCCCTTCACCAGCTGCTGCTGAACCTGCTCTTTGGCCTGCTTCAGCTTCTCCAAACGTTCTGCCTGAGCTTCCGATGAGGACTTTGCCCATTTGCTCATGTCTTCTTGCAGCTCCGAAAAGGCGCTCGCCACGCCCTTCTCCTCCTTCTGCATGGATTCCTGTCTGTCCTTCTGAATAGTGACACGCCGCCGCAGCTCTTCTACGACTTTGGCCAAGCGCTCGACCTCGCCGCTCTTCGATTCCAGCCGCCTCTGGAGGTCTTCCGAGGCGACTGCCGGAGCTTCGTGCTTGCTGGCTGGCATGACCTTTGCCCCCTATTCCCCTGGGAAAAGACGGAATCCTTCTGCAGTACTACACCAAGCCCCTACCCCCAACACTTAGTGATCTTAGTGGTTCTTAGTAGGTAATAACGGTATATTCTCCCTGTGTAAACCCTATATAACATATTCCCACATTCCCTACAATGCACCAGTAAGAAAGGGAAAAAGGAATTCTGATGTAAACCCTATATCGCCTGATAACCCTAAACCCTAAACCCTATAACGTAAGCAAAGTGACCAGTACCTGCTCATGGAGCTGCATCCTAGCAAGATGTTCTTGCTCCTCTGCGCGTTGCTTTAAGGGCCCCCAAAATTATGAGGGCTCAGGGCGCTTATACCTCTGGGTGGTGCCTTAAAGGCCCCCAAAGTTACTGAAAAATAGGTTCCGCTATACAGCAATAGGGGATTTGAATATCTATCCCAAAGTGCCACCCAGTCCTTGATGGATTTTTCAAGCTGCTGGCGGTGCGTGTCTAGAGACTGGTTTTCTTTCTGGAGCTGATCCGCGCGCTGGACGTACCCTGCAAGCAGGTTGCTGAGTGCTGCGGCCGTGTTTAGGCCTGGGGCCCAAGGAGCTGAATGTGAGGGCTCCTCACCTTAGCTGACTGCAGGACCCCTCATAAAAGTTGAACCTTTAGCCTGTCTCTTGTACTAAGCAGGAAGCTCAAAAAATCAAAGTCCTAAAAGCCAGGCTAGACCTAAACCCTTAAAATAGTAGTTGTTTCCATTGCGCCCTCCCTTCAACTCTCCAGGGACCCTAGACCCCAAACCCTACACCCCAAACCCCAAACCCTAAACCCCAAACCCCAAACCCCAAACCCTGTATCCCTTCAGGTCACTGTCGTCCGATTTCTTCAAAGCGCGCTTGGCGCTTGAAAGCGCCAACTCGGCAGTGCCAATAGCCTTCTCTAGCTCCTCTCTGGACCTTAGGGCTTACAGTCCCCCTTAAATAGGGTTTAGGGCTTTGAAGGGGCTTAATGGAAAAGAAAATGGAAACTACTATAATGGGGTGATATAGGGTTTAGGGTCTAAGGGTTAGTTACAGTCCTCCTTAAAATGGAAGCTATAGGGATTATAGGGATTCTATAAGGGTTATATAGTGGTTATATAGGGATAATGGAAAAGAAAATGGAAACGACTTTAATGGTGTTATATAAGGTTTAGGGTTTGGGGTATAGGGTTTGAGGGTTTAGGGAGAATATGGAACTGCCCAACATCATCATAAGATTCCTACATACTCCATGTTCTATTCTTAAGTGGGACTATAGGGGTTTTAGAGGTCTAGGGGCTTACAAGGCCTGGGCTTCCACACGGTTGAGGGTCTAAACCCTAGACCCTTAACCCTGGTTCAAGGCTCCCAACCAAATCCGGGCAAGACGGGAGCATGGTGCTTTTCTTTGCCCAACCTACCAAGCCCCAACTCCTAAACCCCAACTCCTAGATCCTAAATCCTAAACAGTAACTCCCAGATCCCTAAACACTATACCCTTCACCCTAATTCCTAGAGTCCCCTTAAGTAGATGGAATATGGAGTGGTCCAATATCAAAATCAGATCCCCATATACCCCACATTCGATTTATTGAAGTGTAAGCACCCTAAACCCTAACCTCGAATCCCTAAACCCTAAACCCCAACCCCTAATCCCTAAACCCTACCCCTTAAACCCCAAACGGTAGCATTGCCCAGGGGCTCAGGGAAGGCTGTCGCACCTGAGACTTGCTTTCGCGCACTCGCAGGGGGCTCCTTGCAGGAAAGTTGTGCAGTTTAGTGTTTAGGGCTGTTTAGGGTTTATGATTCAGGGTTTGGGAATTTTGGGATTATTGTTTAATGTGTTGGGGTCAACTTCTTATTTCAAGGGGCCACGTAAGCACAAAAACAGGTTGCATGGACCTTGCAAAGGGGGGTGCTCTTAAGCTTGAAATCCTAAATTACATGGTAGAGTACAGTACAAGCATTCATCGAAACGAGGTCCAAACATGATTGTGACCAAAGTTCCCCAAAGACACCGCATTTTTTGGGGGGGTGGGGGTTAGGGCATAGGGTTTAAGCAGCCAAGGCTTAACCACAGATGTTAATCCCAAACCCCACACACGGTTTAGGGCTTTGGGCTGGATCCCGGAGCAACCTACAATTGAACCCCAAACCTTGATCCCTTAATCCAACACCCCAATACCCAGATCTTCTCTCCTTCCAGTACTGCCTGCTGTAGCAACTCTTGCAGAGCAAGTCGCCATTTGCCTCAAAGAGCTCACCTGCTTTTAGGGTTTAGGGTTTAGTCCCCTTTCGTAGACAAACGGGGATATATGGGGATCTTATTTTGTTATAAGGAAATTCCACATTCTATCTACGTACGTGGAACTGTTGACATTGGTTTATATATTAGGCAACTCCACATTCTATCTACTTGGGAGGACCTATTGACTGTAGGATTTATAGCCCTAAACCCTAAAGGTTTAGAGACCGCCCCTTAAGGACCCCCTGGCCCCCCCAAGAATGCACTCCAGGCCGTCTAGTAAGGCCTGAGGAAGGGGGGAGGCATTTCATGAGTTCGGGACAGGATACAGACAGACATATTGAAACATAGACATACATATATATACATATATAGAGATATATATAAACATATAGGTATATAGAAATATTTGTACATGTATATGTATCGGGTTTTGGGTTCAGTGGGCTTTGGGTTTGTGAGTGGCCAAGCCGTGAGGTAGCTTTTGCTTTCATGGCGGCTTCCGACAATAGGGGACAGCCATAGGACAAGGGGCCCCTGATTTTCAGAAACCCCCGCATAACCCCAATAAAGCAATTTCATTGTAAAGGCCTAAGGAAATCAAACAAAATGAGGTGTGTCCATGAAAGCTGTGACTCGCACCGGCACCAAACGAAACGGAACCGCACCAACATGGAACCGGAAGACCCAAAATGACTGACTGCATCGAACCGCGTGAACCGAAAGCATGTCAAGAACCGTCCGGACCGCATCCAATAATGTAACTCCCAGATTAATAAACCCCCTCCCCTTAGTAGGTATTATGATAGGATCCTAGTGTTTAGCCTTGCAAGGAGGGGTTTATTAATCATGGGTCTACATTAACCGAATGCAGGCCAACCTCCGTCTGTGTCTTGAGGCGGGAGGGTCTCCAAACAGACTTGTCCAAACCTAGCCCATCATGGCCAAGAGGATGATGAAGAGGAGTTAAGTTGTATGGTCTAGGGTTTAGGGGCACAAGGCAAGACCCAACACAAAGTCGGATAATAAACCAGCGAATCGCATCGAACAAGGAAATGATAAAGATCAAAAACCGCGTCACACCAAATAGGAAATTGGACAAGTACAGATAACCGCATAGCACCAAACCTTTTGTTCTCAAATAACCAAAACCACACCGCACGGCGCCGTGGCTTTCGCGTTATCCGAGGTACCCTAGACCACACGTGAAAGACCATGATGGGAACTATCCCGATAAGCCTCGATATAAGAACAACTCCAGAGTCCCTAAACCAACAGAAATATCAAACACCCCACCCCCAACATCAACTATGTGCCTCAATATCTAAGGTCTCATGTGGAATGATTACTTTCAGTGGTGGGGTAAAACCCAAAGCCCAACAAACCTCACACCCTAAACCCTGAACCCCAAACCCCTAAACTCCTAAACCCTGAACCCAATAACCCTGTAAACCCCAAACCCCTAAGTTTAGTATGAAAACCAGGCCTGTACACTTGTGGCAGGCGGAACATTTCACCTGGGTTGCTGCTAAGGAACTTGAATTAAGTTACCATAATGGGTATATAGGTTATATAGGGTGTAGGGTTTCGGGTTGAGGAACTTAAGTTAAGTTACCATAATGGGTATACACAATAATTAAAACGGCTTCCCGAATATAGTAGCTCAAATTAAGTTCCTTAAACCCTAAACCCTGATCCCTAAACACAAAAACCCTCAATTAAGTTCCTTGAAAGTTGGGTACTGCCCCCACCCAGTAACAGTCTATATTAGGGGTCCTATTAAAGGCTATACATAACCCTATTATATTCATTATCCAACTGTCACTGAGGGGGGGCAGTATCCAACCTAAACTCTAAAATCCTAAATCCCAAAAGTTAAGTTCCTTAAACCCTAAACCCTAATCCCTAAACCCCTAAAAACCCTTGATTAAGTTCCTTATCAGCAACGAAGTCACCTCGGCCTTGGTGGACAAGGCTTCCAGGGCCTCGGCGGCCAGCTGTTGCGCCTTCTCGAGCCCAATACCTTGGTCGTTTAGTAGTTTAGGGTTTAGGGGTTAGGATTTAGGGGTTAGGGTTTAGGGGTTAAGGGGTTAAGGGGTTTAGGGGTTACCTAAACCCAAAACTATGCGAAAGGATGGGCCTTTAGGGCTATTATTCTGGGTTTAGGGCTATTGTTTTACATATTTTGGAGGTTTAGGTAGGGCTTCCCAATGTAATAGTAGCACTTACAGTAATAGATCTACGTAATAGTAATAATCATACTTAGCCTTTTTGTTTATGCCCGGCTTTATATAGTATATCCCCCCGGAAAAAAAGGTAAAGGCTACCTACCGGAATAGGGGCTTATAAGACTTCTGAAGGTAGGGGTTACATATAATCCCCAGCGTGCCCTAAACCCGAAACCCTAAACCCTAAACCCTAAAGGCAAGATACAATTCCTAAGCGCCTCAATCATCACGTCCTGCCTGCCAAGCTCGCTTTGGAGGCGCTTGAACTGGCCAGTTCGGTTTACTTCCTGAAGGGTAATTTAGGGTTTAGGGTTTAGGGTTTAGGGTTTACTTTAGAAGAATATATACCTTAACCCCAAAAATATGTAAAATTAGAAGAATGTATGGGTGGTTGTCAAAATCATGGTCCCTTTTTGGGTACCCTGAATATTAGGTGCCGTATTATAACAGGGATTCGAAAATGGACCATAATTTTGACAACCTCCCATATAATATATACATTAACCCCCCAAAATACATAAAATAACAGCCCTGAACCCATAATAACAGCCCTAAAGACCATTAATTTACATACTTTTTGGTGTTTAGGTA